GAAGTAGGATAGTCACATCATATAGTAGATCTACTTTCAGTTTTTTGAGGAACCTCCATAATGGTCTTCATGATGGCAGTACTAATTTACATTCCCGCTAGCAGTGTGTAAGAGCTCCCTTGTTTCTACATACTCGCCAGCATTTGTATTTTTTGCTTTTTTTTTTTCCTGTAATAGCCATTCTGACTGTGGTGAAATGATACATCATTGTAGTTTTGCTTTGCATTTCAGAAGATAATAATGTAGTTCTTGTAGGACCCCAGTTAATTTTCATGCAATTGGGTTGTCTTAAATCATGCTGCTACCCACAACCCAGCTCACATGCAGCTGATTCCCATTCTATTTCTTCATCATGTTGTGACACATCCAGGGGCACACACCAGAGACCAAACACATGGGGTTGCCCAATTTTGGACATTCAACTCCCAAAACTATGAGCTAAATAAACTTATTTTTCTTTATAAAGTACCCAACATTAAATATTCTGTTATAGCAACAGAAAGCAAACTAATATAAGAAAGAAGAGAGAAGAGAAGAGAGAGCCAGAACAGAGCTTCTCTATATGGTAATTATCAGTCAACATAATCACAGCTGAAACAACTGAGCACCTGTGGTGTTGCCATGTACACAGCAGGTACTCAATAAAAACCTGCTGGTGGTAGAATTAAATGTAACTTCTTAGTAAAGCCTGCTTTACCTAAGTGCAATAAATACCTGTTGAACTGAACTGTTGAAACAGGCAGTGGGTTCCTAGTGTAATTTGAGAGGCAATGGGGAAAAATGGTCCCTTGCCCCAGATTGCTCTCTGAGTGGGACTGCCGGAATGCTGGAGATTTCCAGATTCCTTTCCTGGGTTAATGGGGTCATGAAAACCTTGTTGAAAAGCAAATGTTATCTAGGAGGGATAACTGATAAAGCTACTATGTCACCGGCCATCACAGATGGAATCCAACTCAACAGCCAGCACTGTCAGACTCACAGGGCCACTGAGGTTCTGTCCTGAGAGACTGCAACTGGCCTGGCAGGAAGCAGGACTGTGGGGAACCAGTCCTGACTGTGGAGGATGTGGAGAGGAGGTCAGTGTGAGGAGTTCCATGTATTTGCCATCCCTGCCTCCTAGCCTTAATTATTCATATACATGAACCCCCACAAAGATCAGGGCCCCTAAAGGAATGTCAATGGGGTGGACATTCTGGAAGGGTCCTGAACATGAGAGTTTTGATTGAAAACAATGCCAGGAAATAACAGGGCTGATGTGCAGTATGAGGAAACCAGGTCGTCCTGCAAGTGTGGTGGTCGGGGGCTGGAGAAAGGTTGGAAATCTAACTTCCTACTTCAGCCTTTTCTTTTGTGAGCCCTTACTACTGACTCCACCGTCTAGAGGGTACCCAGAGCTCTTGCTCCCTCATTACAAGAATTTTTCTGGCTCTTGTCAAACTTTCCTGTCAAGTTACCCCCCAACAACAGAGGAAAGTGAATGGATCACCCCATGGACACCCAGGAATAGTACCAGCAGCTGCCATGAACAAAATGTCTTTAAAAACCTCAATTTTCACTTGAGAATGCACTTAAAGTTTACATTCTCTCAGATGACTATTTGCTTTCATGTAGAAATATTTAAATTACTTATCAGTCCTAATTGAGTCACGTTATCTACTACAACAGATCAAGTTCAAAACCTCAGTGATTAGTACTTTAGAAATCTTTTTTTTTTTTTTGCTAACAAAGTCCATGTGGATGCACTGGTCAGTGGACAGCCTGCCTCTTGGCCTTATGATTCCACCCTCATTAAAGAATTCTAAGTCCTTTCAATTCATCCAGCAGATAAGAGAACACTTCTTAATAGCCTAGACTCAGAATTGACAGCTCTTCTCCCATACTCCCATGAGCAAGAACTTGTCACATAGCTCTACTGAAACATCTGGGTAACTCATAAGTCTTTACACTCATCCATTAATCCCCCAAATCTGTGGGATAAATTAATCTTCCAGAATGAGATGCTGAGTTATCCCACATCTTTACTCATCCCAAGTGCAGTGCCATATACTCCCAGAGGCAATCTATCCCCATTTAAGAAACACATGGGCTGTCCATTTTCAATAAGACACAATTCACATTTGTAGCCTCAGTGAAAACCAATTTTAATGGCTATTCAATTTCACCTCCTCCTTTCACTGCTCTCTCTTCTCTCCCTCTCAATCCAGTTGGGTACCATCAGGATTTTTAAAATGGGCCCAAAGCCATGTTGCATAGTGTCAGGAAATGGCTGGCTGGCTGTCCACCAAGAGACCTTCCAAAGTGGCATTATCTTAATGAATTTTTCACAGTCCATGGTCTGGCCAGAAGACTTAGAGGTCCAAAAATTCAATCTTGTGGATGTTCCAGGATTTGCCTGACTTAGGAGGGTTGTTTTATATAAACTAAACTCACAAAATACCAAAACTCACCAAAAAAGCCAATTCCCTACTGACAAGGGGATATGCAAATGTCAGGAATAACAAACATTCAAAGGATTCTACGCTCCCTGGGGGAAAAAAATTTATTGAGGGGTCAAATAACAATGGAAAGTTCCTTGGTAAGTCTGGAACCAGAGCTTGGGTTGTTTCGTTAGATGATTTGAAAGCTTAATGGCACTGGGTGACCAGCCTGATGAGCCTTCACCACTGGAACATTCATCCAGTTTTTCAGGGGTCCCTCTAGAATGTTCTCTGTCTTAATTCCCTGTTCACTAACCCCCTTTCCGGCCGCCATATTCTTTCTTTGAAACCACCTATGCCATTGGTAGAATACCTGACAGACCTGTGCTCTGCCTTCTTCCAACAGGGCAGACATTTGGTCTCAAAGGTACATTTGCACAGGTGGCCTTGTCCCTTGTGTTGATTTCATAATCTAGCTCACAGAGCTTGGGAAAGGAGGAGAGGGCAAGGATAGAAATACTACCCTCATCTCCACCTGTTATCAACTGATGATGTCCTAGAATGAAACTTTTATTTATTTTTATTTTCATGAAAGTTTATTTGGAGCTCTCAGCAGGGATAGATTGAATATTTGTAGGTTCTTAACTGAAAAAAAAAATTGCTTTCCTCTTTTGCTAGGGCCAAGGCAGTGTCAGCAAGATGCCTGCAATGCTCCCATTCAAGGTTGTAACCCAGAGCTGCTGGCAGCAAATGCACACTGAAGGCTGAATCCTAATCAGAGCCAAGAGGGGTTGCCAATCTCAGTGCCAGAGAAAGCTATTGAGCTTCAGTGGCACTGAGTGAGAACTAGACTGTGGATGGATCAGAAAAAGGTTTACCAGCCACAGTGCAAGAAACAGACTGGAAGCCAATTGCAATGAGGGTTCAAGTAAAATGAAACAGGGTAGAGCCTTGAACAAAACCAAAGGCACTGGGGGACTCTTTCTTATCGGGCATTGGTTCATTGAAATCAAAAGTCTATACCAGGCAAGGAGAGACACACCTGTAACCCCAACAACTCAGGAGGCTGAGGGAGGAGGATTGTGAGTTTAAGGCCAGCCTCGGTAACTAGCAAGAACTGTCTTAAATTTTAAAATAAAAAGGACTGGGGATACGACTCAGTGGTAGAGCATTCCTGGGTTCAGTTACCAAAACTAGGAAGAAAAAGAAAAGAAAGCCCAAGACTAAGGAGATATCTGGGGAAGCAACTTTCTTTAACCGAGTTTATAACAGCAACAGGCAATTACATTGGATGGTGAAGAAAGGGATTCAGCACGGAGAACAAGGAGGGATAAGCCACAGCCAGATTGTTCTCACATGCAGCCAGGATATATAAAACCTGCTTTGTGGTTTCAGCTCTGACAATAATTGGAAGCTTGACTTCTGCAGCTCATTTTACCTCTCTGAGCCTTAAATGAGGCTCTTTTGGAATTTGGAATCAGGGCTTTCTGGGGTCCTCTCCTGTTGTACAATGATACTGTGCCTACAAGGATTAAGCAGCCCTCCACATACACATCCATTCATGTTCTGTGCTGAAAAGATCAGCCTACTAGAAAAATGTTTAGTGGTTTTTTGGGTTATTTGGTTTTTACTTTTTAACATTGAACATACATACATAAAACTGAGCAAAGCAGCCCTGCAACTATCTCCCAGAATAAAAAACAGGACTCTTACCAGCATCTCAATAGCTTCCCTATGTCCCTTCCCTGTCACTAACCCCCCACCCTGAAGTGACTACCTCTTAACTTCAAAGGAGGATGCAGGATTCGTTTTGTCTGTTTTAGAACTGTATATGAATTGAATCATACAATATGTACTCTTTTGTGTCTGGCTTTGTTTACTCAATTATTTGTCTAGGAGACTCCCCCATGCTGTTGCACGAAGCTCGGGTTGGTTATTTTCTTGTTGCTTTATAGCATTCCATTGTATGAATATACTGCAAATGTATTTATCCATCTTATTGGATGTGGACTTTTAAGTTCTTATTTTGGTATCATAAAGAATGTTGCTATGGAAATGCTCACACCTGTCTTTGGGGACACGCTGGCAAGCCTTTTTGTATTATCCATTTGTAACCACTGCCACAAACTTAAATCAATCCATATTTATTATCTCACAGCTCCCGTAGGTCAGAAGTCCAAACACTGATTAGCTGAGTCATCGGCGGCAGGGTCTTCCAGAAGACTGCCATTAGGTGTTGGCTAGGGCTGGAATTTCTTCTGAAAGCTCAACTGGGGAAGGATTTGCTTCACACAGTTGTTGGCAGAATTCAAGACTGTTAAACTGAGACTTCAGTTCCACATTGGCTATTGGTCAAAGGTGACCCTCATTTCCCCACCAAATAGAGTCCAACACATAGAAGCAATAGAGGGTGATAACTAAAAGAAGAGACGGGGCTGAGTTTGTGCTCAGTGGTAGGTAGTGTGCTTGCCTGGCATGCGTGGGGCATTGGGTTCCATCAGATACAAATAATTAAAATAAAGGTATTGTGTCCATATACGACTAAAAACATAAAAAATAAAAAAGAAGTGACAATTTTATGTAGCATAATCATGGAAGCCATATCCCATCACAATTGCTGTATTTCACTGGTGACAAGCAGGTCATGGGTCCCATCCACTCTCAAGGTGAGGGAATTACACAAGAGCATGAATCCGAGGAGGTAGAGATCCTTGGTATCACCTCAGAGTCTGGTTGCCTCAAGTTCTGTTGGGACTGTCACTGAGAATGAAATTGCCTGGTTGCAGACTCCACTTTGGGTTTGGAAACTCATTAGTTTTCCTATGTGGTTGTGTTAATTGACACCCTCACCAGCATTCCATACCTGGAATTGGGTTTCCTTCTGGTATAAGCCCTCTAGTTTCTCCTGCAAAAAAAAAAAAAAAAAAAAAAAAAAAAAAAGAAGAAGAAGAAGAAGAAGAAGAAGAAGAAAGAAAAGAAAAATGGCTTTCTGCACCCTGAGCTATAAAGTTTAGGAGGGTACAGAATTCAAAGTCAAAAAATGCTGTTCCAGTAGCAACATTGGTGCTAGTGGCCATCAAGCCATGGGCTGAAAGAATGGATATAGGTGAACGGCTAATAGTACAAACAATATTATTCTGAGCAAACTAGCCTTTGCTTTGTTTCCTTTGTAAATAATAAGGCTAAATTTATATCAAACATCTTCCCCTGAATTTCTATGTGCAGAACTGAACTGATTGAATAAAATAGACCAAAGAGGTGGGCACCTTTTTTTTTCTCCCCTGTCTAAATGTGCCACGGTGCACCTCAGGGGCAGCTAACCACCTACACACTTATCAAAGTCCCCTGCAAATCAACCACCATTTACCCAGCCACTGGATAGTGAGAGTCACTGGGAGTGAGTCTGATTGGGTCCTGAACTGTCAACCTAAAGGGGTGTTGCTATGCAGTAACATGAAAGGTCCCCATTGACAATCCTCATTCACAAAAATGTACATGGTGGCCACTCATCAACTGTTTAATTAGGATATGATAGGAGAGGTGATACTCCAGGCATTTGCTCTCCACTAAGTACTCTATCTCAAAAAGAGCACATGGCCCCAGATGTAAAAGAATGTGGGGGGAAATGGGGATGCAGTGGGCCAAGAGGCGTGTGGGATTTCCATGAGTTTTATTGAGATTTCTGCCCAAGTGTGTCTGGCAGGGTGGGCTCCTGAAAGCCACTCAGTAGTGGTAATAAAAGCCCTGGGGTGGTAATGTGAGTGAGCTGCCTGGAGATGGAAAACTTCACAAAAGGTTTTCAAAGAAGTTTTTTAAGGGGACAATTGATTTGAGTAGGTTCTGCATAAAAAATTTAAAAAAAAATACTCTCCTTCGGACACCTGTGAAATGTTGAGGTTAATTGGGGCTTCTGATGCTGATTGTGGAGGAGTTTTAGGGGTTGCTGTTTTTCCTCCACTGAATTCCAGCTCCTTTTCTACTACTCCCTTTCATTGGGGCTGTTAGTGTATCGATGTAAAGAGTATTAAATGGAAGCGTGCTTTTGTGTGGAAGTCATTACTGTGAACACCTGTTCACTGTTGAGTTTAATTGGACTACAGCTGGTGCTGATTGTGTGTGAAGGGGGCTGCTCCTCTCACTGTCAGTGGTAACAGTGGGGAAGTCAATACTCCAGAGTTCAGCTCCCACATCATAAGGTCAAGTGCTCCACGTGCTGCGGGGTTAGCTGCCCCTGAGGTGCACCGTGGCAAATTTAGACAGGGGAGAAGAAAAAAAGGTACCCGCCTCTTTGGTCTATTTTATTCAATCAGTTCAGTTCTGCACATAGAAATTCAGGGGAAGATGTCTGATATAAATTTAGCCTTAGTATTTACAAAGGAAACAAAGCAATGGCTGGTTTGCTCAAAGTAATATTCTTTGCACTGTTAGCTATGGACATAGTTCACCTATGTCCAGAGATGATAGGGACTGAACAAACACATAAAAGGGACACCGATAATGTAGCTCGAGGGTAGGCGGATAATGGCAGATTAAGATCGCATTCCTGATGGAAGCCTAAGAAAAGAATATGTCCACAGCCTTTAATAATAATGTGTATTTTTTAAAAAAGCTCAAGTTGTTGACTTAAAAGAACAGATGCTGACTTGCATATTTCAGTCATGTAGATGTAATTCACATTACTTATTCATTTAATATCAAAATGCATTGAAACAATGAAACATCAAGTCTACTTTATAAAGGCTCTTGCTTCATATTAATATTAATATTATTAACTTCTACAATTCTCAAGATGACCCTGTGTCCCAGAGATGCCAATAACTCCTTTATAAGCCATAAAACCTCCATACTGAAGCTATTCTGCTGAATCTTAGTTTTGGATGCTCAATGAGGCTTCTTCTTCCATAGGTGCAGCTAACAGGTACTGTGGGTGTGATTCATCTTTGGAGGGAGGTGAAGCCAAGTGCTGCTGGAAGTAGTGATTCTGATGAATAGTTGTAACTGAACTCCATTCCAGGACTGGGGGGGTGTAGCTCAGTGATAGAGCACTTACCCAGCATGCAAAAGGCCCTGAATTTCATCCCCAGCACTGAAAGAAAGAAAGAAAGAAAGGCAGGGCTGGGGTTGTGGCTCAGCGGTAGAGCACTCGCCTAGCACATGCAAGGCCCTAGGTTCAATCCTTAGCACCACATAAAAATAAATAAATAAAATAAAAAGTATTGTGTCCAACTACAACTAAAAAAATATATTTTTTTTAAATTAAATACTATTCCAGGACTCCATTTTTTTTGTTGTTGTTGTTGTTTTAATACTTGCACAACCCCTCTGTCCATTGAATTTTAAAAACCCACTTGATCATTTTTGTTTGCTGATTGAGGTCCTTGTCACCAACCAACCTCAGTCCAGCAGAGAAAGTGTGGCTGAGATTTTCCTTAGAGTCAACAATAGGTGAGACATAAAAAACCAACCTTTCCCACTCTGAGTTCCACAGGCACTCCAACATGGTGACACCCTGGTCTTTAGAGAAGCAGCTTCCCCTGAACTGCAAGTGGAATCCCTAGAGCCAGAATCCAGCCCAGCTTGCTGGTCTAGTTGTGGGGTCTTGGTGAGTCACTCCACCCTGTGGATAGGATCAAATGAAAAAAAACATTGCAAAAATGCTCTGTCAACTGTGAAGAGCCTTACAAATATAGAGATGTTTATGACTCAAGGGGCAGTCTTTCAGTCAAACTGAAAACAGATTTTTCTGCGTGAGAAACTGTGTTGCTATGAAAGGCAACAGTGAGAGATTTAAGGGCGGGAAGTGTTGGCCCTCTCCTCTGTTCTCCTTTTGATTACTTATGATTGATGATTCCTTTCAAGCAGATACCAAATACAGCTTTGCTGCTGATCAATAGATGTTCTTCCACAGTTGTTTCTGTTTTAGTTCTTTACTTTTTAAACAAATATTACAATTGTGCTCTTTGAGGAAATACATGTGCATGCACACACACACATACACACACACACAAACACACCCTAAGTTTTCTAGCACAGATGGCAAGCTGTTTGAGTTCATATAAATGAGGTCACAGATACTTTTTCCTCTGCTAGCATGGTCTTTCTATAACAACACTAATCCTCACAACCATCCCTGGTAGTTGGAAAACATAATAAGTCCTTGATTGAACAACAGATCACAGCAGGCAGAAAGAAAGTCCTGGGAATTGCACTCCTGGAATAGTGGTCTGACATTCTCACCTATGTGTGCACCCCAAAACCACTTTGCTATCCCAAACTACAAGCCTATTCTAGGTTGGCTATTTTTCTCTTAAATGATCAGGCATCATGGAGTCAAGCCAGAAAAAAAAAAAAATGATTGATGCTCACTTTTCTAAATTGAGAAATACAGCCACACGTGGAGAATTTCCAAACTGGACTTAAACTATAGTGTGTGTGGTGATGCAGGCCTTAATGAAAATGGATGCTGGCCTGACTGGCTCTCTGAGAAAAATCAAAAATTTGGCTTGTGGAGAGCCATACGAAGGGGACTTTGGTATCTATCAAGAGTGATGCGACCAAGCACCTGCCTGCTTTGATTTTCAATGTGAAAGGCTGGCTGTACCACTAAAAGAAGACCTCAAAGTAGGGAAATCAGCAAGAGCTGAGTCCACCAGTGATCCTAGGACCATCACACGATGGCAGCACCCAAAATAAAGCCTCAAGAATCTCAGTATGTACATCTAGTCAGTGGCAGAGCCAAGAAAAAGAAAACTAGGATGTGCACAATTGTTATGGTTTAGATGTAGTGTCCCACAAAAGCTCACATGTGAGACAATGCAAGAAGGTTTGGAGGAGAAATAATTGGATTATAGTCTCAACCTAATCAGAGGATTGATCCCTGATAGGATTAACTGAGTGCTAACTGGAGGCAGATGGGGGGTGACTAGAGGAAGTGGTTAATTAGGGACATAGCTATGGGGTATATTTTTGTATCTGGCAGGTGGAGACCTCTCTCTCTCTCTCTCTGCTTCATGACCACCATGTGAGCTGCTTCCCTCTACCACCCTCTTCTTCCATGATGTTCTGCCTTATCTCAAGCTCCAAGGAATGGAGCCAGCCTTCTATGGACTAAAACCTCTGAAACCATGAGCCCTCAAATAAACTTTTACTCCCTTTTTGTTGTTCTGATTGGGTCCTTTTGTCACAGTGGCAAAAAAGCTGACTAAAACAGAAATTGGTATCAGGAATGGAGTTGTTGCTGTGACTAACCTGACTATATGGTTCAGAAGATTTTGAGCCTTTTGGAATTGGTGGGAGGAATTTTGAGATGTTTAGCAGTGCAAGCTGGAAATGCTTTAGGTTAATGTATGTGGAGTTTAATAGCTGATTGTGGTAGGAGATCAGATCAGAATGCCAGTAGGACTATGGACAGTGAAGACAAGGCTTAAGAGGGTTTAGAGAAAAAGGAGACCATTGTTGGTAATTAGACTGGAGCCTATTCCTTTTATTTTCTGGCTAAGAAGTTGTCTGCATTTTGACCATGCCCTGAGACTTTCTGTGAGGCTGATTTTAAAAGCAATGTACTAATTAATTTGGTGGAAGAAATGTCTAGGCAGCATAGCATTCAGGCTGTGGCACGGATATTCAGGCTGGCAGTTTTTAGCTAAATTTATTGTGATAATCAGGAGCAGAAAGCAGAACAGAAATATTTTTTAAAATTGGACTTGAAAGGTGGGAGTAAAACTGGGGCAAAGGAAGTTGCAGTTGTTAAAGACTTTAATACCACTAAAGAAATGATGCTAAAGACTTTGCCCAGAGACTAAAAAAGATGGCCTGAGGGCATCTCAGGAATTGCCAAGACCACACCCATCTCTGACTCAAGGAAGTAAAAGTAAAAATTCTCTTAAGAAGAGACCAGTGGCACCCTTCTTGCACAAGAGGCCTAGGAAGTTTTTTCAACCTGCTCAGTCATTCAGGCACTTGGAGGCTGATACAGCCAGGGTCATTGGAGGCTTGGCTACTGGCAGACTTTGGCATCAACCACATGGTGCTGGTTCTGCAGGAATGCAGGATGCTGGAGTTGAGGGGTCATGGAGGTTTCTAAAAAGATTTCAAAGAAGGCCTTGGAAGCCAGGCAAAGTACAGCAGGGTCAGAGCCCCTGCAGGCAACCCCTGAGAAGGCAAGTTATGGAAATTTGAGGATGAAGCCGAAGCTGCAGGGTAGACTCCCGAGATTAATAAATACAAGTAATCTTGGACATCATCCTACAAAAGCTGCAGCAATTGAACAGAGACAAGCCAACAGAGAGGCCACTTGGGCTGCAACCAACAAGGCCACAGGGGCAGAGCTACACAAGCCCGTTAGACAGGACATCATGCCATGTGCTCCAGATCCTGAACACAGAACTAGAGGACTTGTTTGCCTCACTGGATTTAGATCTGGCTTTGGTCTCATTCCTTTTCTCTATGCCCCTCTTTTTGTGAATGAAAATGTTTACTCTGTACCTTTATATATTGGATACTTACTTGTAAATTGATTTTACTTTAACAGGAGCTCACAATGCAAGATTGCCTTGAGCCTCAGAGACTTTGGACTTGAACTTTGAGCAATCTCAGAACTGTTGAGACTATGGAGACTCTTGGAAATAGACAGAAGGTATTTTGCATCATAAGATGGTTATGAGCTTTGGGGGGGCCAAAGACAGAATTTATGTTTTAGATGTTATGTCCCCCAAAAGCTCATGTGTGAGACAATGCAAGAAGGCTTGGAGGAGAAATGATTTGGTATAGCCTTAACCTAATCAGTGGGTTACTTCCTAATGGGATTAGCTGGGTGGTGACTCAAGGCAGGTTGGATGTGGCTAGAGGAAGTGGTTCATTAAGGGCGTGGCTTTGGGGTATATATTTGTATCTGGCAAGTGGAGACCTGACTAAAACAACAATTGAAGCCAGCAAACCTCCAAGTGGCATAGTATTTGGGGGATCCGTCCTTCTGGTATCCTGCTAAGCAAGCACCCTTCAGGTTGGCCCACTGACTGACACAAGCCTGGGAGACTTCATGGGCTACACACCTGACACCTGCTGTTTCATGGTTTATATCTCCTCCATCCCCAGGCTACAACTTGCAATCAGCCCTGCCTGTTGGCTCGGTGGCAGGTCCAAGCCACTCCCACGCAGCTGGTCCAGTCTTCTTCCCCGAACCGCCCCCCCCTCCATTGATCTAGACATTTCCCTAACTTGGCAGAGCAGCGCCATCTTCCTCAGTTAGTGCCGCCTCTCTCTCCATCCCAGCTCATGTCATCTGGTTGGATTATACATGGAGAATGGGTGGGCACTTGTGCCTCACACGCTGCTCCCTCCCTGAGCAGGGCCACATGTTCCCCTCCCCAGCACTGCTCAGCTTCACTCAACTAATTTGGAACAGAGATCTTGACACCAGAAATGCTCTTATCCTGCTCTGTGGCCCAGGCTTCTCCGCCTACGGGAGGATCAGCTCAACTGAAGCAAAAAATGATCCACCCCATTTGCTTGTTAGTCACAGCCTATCCTGGGTTTGGTGGCTTTGTCTGGGTCCTCTAGGAAGTGACATTCTAGCAGGAAGACCTTCCCAGCTCGGTCATCTCCCTGCTCCAGGTGATCCATCAAGCCTGCATCCTACACCCCATCCTGAATCCTTCAGGTTTCAGGGCAAAAGAGGACTTTAAGACTTTCCATTTCCTGATGATGCTCAAATCGTCTTGTGCATCAGAGAATTTTATTGGAAATACAGATTCCTGGGCTCTGAATCTAGTGAGTCTGATCCAGTAAACTGAAGTGAATATGAGGAAACTGAATTTTTAATAATGACTCTCCCCAGGTGGTTCTGATATGGTGCCCCAAAACCTTATTTGGAGAAACTGCCTCACAAGCATGGAATGTCACAGGGCCAAGCTGTCTGATTTGTCACCATCTTGCCAGCTCCTGACATGGTGCTTGCACACATAGATACCCAGTGAATACCTGGACTGGATGAGTGGCTGAATGATAATAGCAAGAGAGGTATTCTGGGTCACCAAGGGCAGTATCTTTCCAGTTAATCTAGAAACAAATAAGTAGAACAAGAGTTCACACCCTTTAACTTAGCAATTCCTTTGGAAAGAATATACATTAATAAATATGATAGGAAAGCTTTAAAAATTGCATTGTATTGTTAGAAAAATTATTATTTTTTAAATTAAAATTATTTGCATAAAAGAAAATTGGAATCCCACAGACCTCACAGGATAAAAAGATGACTAGGCGGCCCATGATGTGTTCTCATGAAAGAACCCTACCTGGGCACCAAAATGCAAGTGTGTGAGCCAGGCGAACATGAAACGTCATAAAATGAGGGAAGCAGGACCCAACACTGTGGGCTGCCACAGGGCATCCCCCGTGCCTGGGTCAAGCTTAACTGGAAAGGTATGCGTGGTTAGTGGTCAATGTTCCTTTGGTCCTTTTTATGTGCAAAACAGCTCACATTCATACAAACTAAATAAAAACCAATGAAGCTTCTGCCACGTGGCTGGCCTCAAGCTCCTGGTAAACATCTGAAGAAAATGATGGGAAGAGGCAGAAAGTCGGGCTCAGAGCATAAAAATCTGAGACATGCATTGGTTTTGACAGACAGAGGAAATGGATCACAGATGCCTGGGCATGTTCTTCTCCAGGTCCGTCCCTCACACTCCCCTGGAAGGCTCTGGGGCTGCCTTAGGGTCCTCTCTTCCCACCATCACCCCTGACCTGGGTCCTCCCTGCCTCCCAGGGTCCCCTTGGCCTGGTCCCAAGAGAGCAACACAAGGCCTCTGTCCTCAGGAGGCAGCTCCTTTGCCCAACCCTTACCAGGGTGTCCCTTACCAGGGAATGCAGCTCAGACACTGTGTAGGTCTTAAAGGAACCAAAGAGGAGTGTGTTCCTAAGGGTGCGCCCTGGCCTACCCTGTCATGCATGCCCTCTCACCCACTGCCTCTGTCTTGGAAGATCTAAAGCTCAGCTCTCTACGCCCTTCTTCCCCAGGCCTATGGGTTAAAAGGGGTAACCTCACCAGAGGCTAAGAATGTCTTGCAGCTGACACCAGAGGAAGGCTGTCCAAAAAAAGGTGCATCCAGGGAAGCGAAGCTGAAACAGCAAAGGGAAAGTGGTTTCTAAGAGGCGATGCAGCCAGTTCACGCCAAACAGCATTAGCAGTAGCATCTCCCAAGCGCCAAGGAAAGACAGAGCCAAGCAAACAGCGGATTGAAGCACTGTGGCTTTGGCTGCTGGTGCCTTAGAAAACAAAAACAAAATGTAACCACGCCGCAGCCTGTGTCTGCTAACAGCTCCGAGATTGTCAACCTGGGAATAATGTACCAGGCTCTCTCTTTTGGAACCAGGAGAGAGTTTAATGTTTTTAACAGTATCCCACAGGTCTCAGGGTCGGTACCTTTTCTCCATCCCTAGAGTGGGACAGTGAGCAGGGCCCCAGGCACTGGATACAGGGACACAGCGAGTGTAGCAGCTGGAGAACAAAGAGTCACTACTGGGCCAACTTCACCCCCCACCCCTCTAGGACGCAAGCTGGAATCACAGGGACTTTCATGCCTGATGTGATGAAAGGGGCTGTCCCAAATGACAAAGCGCTGCCTGACTTTTCAATGTCCCAAGCCAGACAATCTTGTAGCAGGAAAACTTGTTGATAATTTATCTGACTTGGAGTTATATATAAACACCCAGCATTTTTGGCCTTGTTAATATCCATCAAATTCTGAAAATGTGCTTGACCTGTAAACCAAGGGAAGATTGTACTTTTTCGTTTGTTTGGTTGGTTGGCTTTTGTTGTTTTGTTTAGTTTTTGTTTTATTTTTTTTGTGGTGCTGGGGATTGAACCCACGGCCTTGTGCATACGAGGCAAGCACTCTACCAACACTAGCCCCTCGTTTGTTTTTATTAAAGTGAAATTCACTTGGTATAAATGAACCATCTTGAAACACACAATTAAATGGCATAAATATACATTCATGCTGTTGTGCTACCACAACCCCATCTAGTTTCAAAACATTTCCATCACCCCAACAAGAGAACCCTGTACCCATTATGCAGTTATTTCTCATTCCTCCAGCCCAGGCAACTTCCAATCTACTTTCTTTCTCTGTGGTTACCTATTCAGGCTGTTTGTTTAATATAAGTGGAAACAAATAATATGTGACATTTTGTGCCTGGCTTCTTTCACTTAACCTAATGTCTTCAAGGTTCATCCACTTTTATGTGCAAAACAGCTCATATTCATTTCTTTTTATGGCTCCATTTCTTTTTATGGCTGAATAATATCCCATTGTATGTATATTCCACATTTTTTTATCCATTCATTCATTAATGGACAGTTGGGGTGTGTTCACCTTTGGGCTATTACAAATAGCACTTCTGTGAACATCTGTGTAGGAGTTATTTGACTAAATACTTGTCAATTGCGGTGGGATTATACCTTAGGAATGGAATTGCTGAGTCATATTGAAAATCTATATATAACTTTTTGAGGAATCTGTTCTTTTTTTGTATGAAATTCTACCAAAAATTGCTCATTATTGCAGAAAACACTTTGTTGATGACTATGCTAACAACAGTCTCCATTTGTGTTTGCGGCTCTCCAGATGATTGACACACAGTGCCATCACCTGACTATGAGTATTCCATCTCAGTATTTACGTATTTCAAAAGACTATAAGATTCTTTCCCTTTTACATTTTAGCCTTGTCATTACATTAATTTTTTACTTATTTATGAAAGTAGGTTATATTGTCTGTGCATTTGAGGATAAGGAGCATTATAAATATCTTTAAAGGAAGAAGTTAAGTCTGATGGAATTGAGAGTCACTACCAAAGAGTGTTGAGCTGCTATGCATCTGTGGAAGCAAGATGACATTGACCACAAAGTGCTGGGCAGACCAGAGTATTTACATATTTTTCTGACCTAGCCTTGGTAGTTATGTATCTACAGCTCAAAGCAGTTCACTACAAAATTCCAGGTGATAACATTCATGGTGGAGATGCTGGGTAATATAGAAGAGGACAAAATATTGTTTCTGTCCAGATGGGGCAATGTCCTCAGGGCACCTCATCAGAGAAGTAGTTCTCTTCCATCAAAGCCTGGATCATGATCTCCTCACTAGTGCGCTATATATCAGGAGAAACTAGTTGCAAATAATAAAGCAGCAGAGAATCTGGGGAGTGTCTACCTCCTTAAATTTTAGTTGCAGATCTGTGCAGCATGAAGTTAGAAACAGGGAAATAGAGAACTGTAAAGGAGTTGAAGAAAGCACTCTACTTAAAATATCATCCTACCCATGAAATTCATGATAATAGCTGCCTCTGGGATGTAGGGAAGGAAAATTCAGCTCCCCCAAATAATTCAATTTTCTCTGTCATGCTTTTAAAAAAAATCACATAAAATAGATTAGCATGGTGATATTTGTAAATTCTAGGGAAGTAGGCATATAGGTATTGGTTCTATAGTCCCTGTAAATCTCTGTAAACATCTATATTATTTTCTTAAATAGGTGCATGTGTGTGCATGTGTGTGTGTGTGTTTGTGTGTGTGTGTGTGTGTGTGTGTGTGACCTTAAAGCAATCCTAGACAGAAATTGAGCATTCTTGGTAGTTGGTTAAAAAAAAAAAAAAGTGGGGGCTGGGGATGTGGCTCAAGCAGTAGCGCGCCCGCCTGGCATGCGTGCGGCCCGGGTTCGATCCTCAGCACCACATACCAACAAAGATGTTGTGTCCGCCGAGAACTAAAAAATAAATATTAAAAAATTCTCTCTTTCTCTCTCACTCTCTCTCCTCTCTCACTCTCTCTTTAAAAAAAAAAAGTGACTCATTCAGTCTAAAATTACAAGAATCATAGAAAAGTAGATGACATCAGAACAACAAGTGCCCAGAGAACCAGACTGAAGCCATTTCCTGTGACCTCTTCCAGAGTTCAGAGAAAGGTCCCAACAGTAGCATATCCTTCATAGAGGATAATGGGGCATGGTACTAGAACCACATGCAATAATAACTGTAGTTTGTTGTGTTTATGGACATTTAAATTGTTGTTCTGAATTCCATATCTAGATGGGTTCAGTCGTCTCAATGAATCTTTTATGTTCTCTGAACGGCATTCAGCTAAAGGAACTTTTCCAAGCATTGCGTCAGACAAGTCTGAGTCCAGGTGGGACCCAAATAAGATTTCAGCTAAGAGTCGACGCCTAAGAGAGTCGACCAGTAAGACGCCTGTGGTAGATTAAAGATGACCACAAATTCTTTGCCTTTCCTCCCATCAAAAAAAAAAAGTGGGGTGTATGTCCCATCCCTGAAGTTGAACTGGCCAGGACTTGCTTGAACAATAGAATTCAGAAGCAGGAATGTTCTAGAGCTTCCAAGGCAAGGTCATAGAGGCCTGGCAGCTTCCACCATGGCTCTTCTCTGGGAGAAGCCGATGCCATGGGTGGCTGACAGCTATGGGACTTCCATGCTGTGAGGGAGCACAAGCCAGAGGAGAAAGACGCCATGCACAGGGAGAATAGCAGCCAGCCCAGGGCTCCAGCCACTGCAACCCAGGGATCACCAGGGAAGTGCAGAAACCATCTTGAACCCTTCAGCCCCAGAAGATGCTGTGGAAAAAAACTGAGAAACCCAACCAACTGTCAAAAGCATAGCCTCAAATATATGGTCCCAACCATCTCCAGCCACATGAGTCATCCCAGTCTTCATGGAGCCGAGAGGAGCCCTGTCCAAATTCCTGACCCACAAAAAATCCTGAGCATGATAACTTTTTTTTTTTTTTTTAGAACCAGGGATTCAACCCAGAGGCACTTAACCACTGAGCCACATCCCCAGCCCTTTTTATTTTGTATTTAGAGATAGGGTCTTGCTGAGTTGCTGAGGGCCTTGCTAAATTGCTGAGGCTAGCTTTGAATTCACAGTCCTCCTGCCTCAGCCTCCCAAGCCACTGGGATTACAGGCATGCACCACTATGCTGGGCTGATAACTATTATTTAATACCACCAAGTTTTAGGGTGGTTTGTTCCTCTGGAACTGATGTCCAAACTCTGTCCCCAGTCAAACATTGCCTTAAGATTTTACTGCTGGCTGGATAAGCAGGAACTCACATGTATGTTAAATATACATCCCAGGTCTAACACAAAACAGACTTATTCTCAGCTTGCTGGGAATTACAGTGACCACTCAGAACAGACGATGGGCTTAGGCAAGACGTGGCCTTGCCTTTGTGCACTCAATGAACTTCCAGTCCACGTTGTCTCTGGCTTCTTTCCAAAAGGCTCACATCACGTGTGCAACTCCAGAGCTCACTGCTGTGAACAGCATACACACATCTGCACTACATATTTTTGCTGTGCGTTCATATCTTTTCTTACTGTTTTATTTTGTTATTTCTATATCCAAATACAAATGCCAAGTTTGTTCCATGAATTGGGGGTCCATGGGTGTGGAAGGAAGACAGGAAGTCCTGGGGTTGGGGGCAGGGGAGGGGGAGGTGGGAAAAGCTGGGGTATCAAAATTAAATAGGCTTTATTCTTGCAAGACTTCCCAAAGCTATTAGTATACAAATGTTCACCCCGAGTCGCCAAGAACAAAATAGAAGACGAAGCATTTCCCCAAATCTCTCTGACCGTGAAACAGGCTTCTATGTCCAGCATGCCATCTTGCAGGATTAGTGTTTCACAGAATGACACCCCTTGGACAGAGCATCCAAGCCACTGGCTGGCATCAGAATGTCTGTCTTGGTTTACAACTGTTGAGCAGGCAGATGTGTGTACTTTGTTCTGGAAGCACAGCACACAGCCGTGAACTCTGGGCTGCAAACCTAACATTAGCCTTTTGGAAAGAAGCCTGAGGACAATGTGGACTTGAAGTTCAGTGGGTGCACACAGGCAAAGCCAGATCCTCCCTTATGCCTAGCTTCTCTTCTGATTGGTCAGTACACTGATGATCTATTGTTCTTACCAACAGCCCTGGTCTTATAAAGATCGGGAGGGAAAAAAGAAACCAATGTTGGTAGAAATGCTCATGCAGACCATCCTACCCTGGGTAAGCAATGATTTTTCTTTTGATTCTGGGAAGCCTGAGTCTAGGAAGATTCCTCAGACGGCTCACTTGACCTCAATCAAACTGTCCCTTGTATGCCACCAAATGAGCTCCATGGTTAGTCATGCCCATTTCAGTTGGCCAAATGCCCAACAATGTCTGAGCCTGGTCCAAGTGTTTCTTCCCCAAGTTGGAGCAG